ACACCTAACTGGTAAGCACGAATAAAATGAATAGACAGACCTATTATACTCCTTAACGCCGTCACATGTGTAAAAATAAAACAGATATTTGAGTAACATCCTGGTTGAATAAGTATGTCAACTATAATATATAATATAAAGACAACTGTGTGTGAAATAGATGTGTATGTACTTGTATGTTTAGGCGGTACAAGACATGTTTGAATTGATTATGGCCGAACCAAAAGCAACACTGATTTAATATTTTAGTCTACATTAGAACTAGTCCACAAGGGACGCACGAGGATAAGTTCTTGTAAATAATTTATTAACAGAACAGTGTTATATTATATAAAGAAAAAGAAACAAATAATGCGACAAATAATGCTTCGGAGTCGTCAATATATCCCACTACCCACCAGTAGCCAGTGTCAGATGTAGATTTTAAGAGGGGTCTTGGCAGGTCTTGGGCTATTCCCTCCCTCCATTTCTCTACCCTCCCGACCAAAATAAGACGGACGTGTGATTTAAACACAGATGAGGAAAGTCGAGGATGATGATGGATGTTTAAGATTATATAGTGCGAATAAGAAAGACTTAGAGGCTGTGAGGACAAATTGTTTAAAACCACTGTTTTATATATTCAAGCATACTGAAAATAAATGTTTTTAGTGAAGAAATTATTTTGGATTTAATTCAGTGCGTCAATCACTGTTTGTCGTGTATTTTGTACACGGTGAACAGTCTATATGCTGATTACACTATTTTGCCTTATTACACTATTTTGCCTATACCGTTTTTTTAGGACTTCGAATTTTGTCTAATGGTTTGGATTGTTCGTACTTGGTTTTATTTTATATATACACCTTGACCTGTATACACCATCACTGCTAGTTTAAATAAGCCTGTTTCTCTTTGCTCAGAGTAGTTTAGAGGTGGTGGGGGCCTGAATGAACAGAAATATTATATCAGAGCTTTAGATTTTATAAATTTTTCTGTTAATCCCAACCTGATTAAAATACAGATCTATATTTCGTCTGTTTTTTTTATACTTTCGATGGCCTCCACTAGTGGGTGATTGCGTCAGGGGTCATACGAGGTGCTTTTGACTCTATGATGTCAGACATTTGATTAACCAATCGGCGCTGACGTTTCTAGTGGGATACCTACAGTTCCGTGCACCGCATGCCAAGAACTCGCCGCAACAGACCGTTTCATTGGCCTATCCCTCACATTAACCAGAACGCAGGTTATATAGCAACTCTTCCAGATCTATAATGTAGTAAAGACAAGTAAAACGAAATTTTGAATTAATAAAAACGAAACGAAATAGAATCTGTGTTCTAATCAGATAGGGGTAAACTCACAGAACTCCCACTGAATTTGGCGATGTCTTCACCTTAGCTTCCCCGCTGCTCAAATTTCCGAACACTGCCCTGGACTGGATTGGAGTTTTTCTGCAATATTCTGCTATGCACTGGTTAATTGGGCATAATAAAATCGTGAGTCATGACGTAACGGTATGTAAACATTTTTGGTCCAATTTGGAGTTCTCTTTTAAGCGTAATGCTCTTGTAACGCAGTTAGCTATTGGTTGTTAATCAGACCATTGACCAGTCATAATTTTGAACAGAAATTTGCCTTCATTAAAGCAGTGTTTAGTGGGATTAGGTATGATTAAACGAAACACTGCGAGGAGTATGCTTGTCCACGCGTCTGGAATGCTGACTGCTAGGATTACAATCAGGGCAATGCCAATAACTACAGCTGCAACTATCACCACAATTGTAGAAACCGTAATTATTGTTACTAAAAATAGAATACAGATTCTATTAGTATATATTAAACCCTTCACTTCTATTCACACATTCTTCTGTACGTGTTCGGTGTGCGATATACAATACAATTACAGATTAAACTTGAAACTGGCAATTACAACATCCGTTTAAAGTCATTAAAATTTAACCAGTGCGGGGTTTAACGTCCTACTGTTCTGCTCCGACTGGGCTGATGAGAACGGGCTTACTGATTGAATTACTATTAATAGTAAAAAAGGACTATTATTTGGGACCTTGAAATTGTCACAAATGGGTCGCACTAACAGCGACATTTGTTTCAGGCATATTTGTTTCATCGGTTGATTGATTTGTTGATTGGAGTTCAGATGTCTACATTAAAATCGACCACTTTCAGGTTGCCGTATTCACGGCCAGGCAAGACCGACTTGAAATTTCTAGAAATTTTTCTGGGGGAGACAGGCCCCAACAAATCCCCCGACGGTGCGTTTCACGACTTTGGCGCAAGACGGTGACCTTGAAGAGACGTCGAAAACCATTTAATAGACATAGTAAAAGTCATATCTTACGAGATTATCGCTGGTCTTGTCAGAAAATGCTATTTTATATATGACCAGTTTGTGTTTGAAAAATTTAAAAAGAAATTATTTATTCTCCCACCATTAAAGCACACTAATTACGAAATATCGCTCTCAGAAACTTCGTGGTTTCTTTTGCAATTTGTTTGGGGTAAGACGTTATATAAATAATATCAATCTGTCTACCACACAAATTTAACAGATACAAATGCATGTTATTCCACAGGTAGACAGACAGGGCCTCCTTTGAAGGGACTCAGTAAAGGGAACGCGGTTGGTTTAGAGTTTGTCTGACCCCTTTGAATATTTGCGTCTCATCTCCAATGAAAACATTCATGTTGCTCTCATGCTGTTCTCAACCAGAATCAAACATATATCGTACCCGAGATTTGTTAGCATGTTCCACACAACCCAACATTTATCGGCACCGGGATTAAGGGTGTATATCTTTGTTTCTAACGCTTATTGGGAATACGCCACGGAAACTACAATAAAAACTTATTTACAAAAACATTCTAAAGAGTGAAAACTGACATATTTCAAGCTTTACTGTATTTAAAGAAATAATTTAAATCAGCCGGCTGAAACCCCGTCTCCGCTATTTGTTCAGTCATTCTTTAGGTATAGTGCCAGTTTCCACCGACAATGATATTGCAAACAAGTGTCCAATCTATAAAAGCATACATTCCTACAAAATGTTTCTTTAGTCAAGTGAAACAATAAATTCATAACTATGCGAGGGTGTGGTGAGTAAATTCTGAAAAGGCTAATGTGACATAGAACAAGGTCACATTGATGTTGACAAATACGTAAGACGATATGAACATCAACTAAAAAGATATGTAATGTGATTCAGCTGTAAGGTGAGACAAGTCTGAAAAGGCTAATGTGACATAGAACAAGGTCACATTGATGTTGACAAATACGTAAGACGATATGTAATGTGATTCAGCTGTAAGGTGATATATGCATATATGCAGCATAGATAATCAAAACTTCTATTCAAGTTAAACCAACTGTATCTATTTATTTAAGGCTTACGTCGAGCTGAATACATTTTATGATTTATTGTCATCTATTGGTGGTTAACAGTGTGTAACTAAAAACTAAAATTGGATCTTATTATTGCCAATGATATAATGTACATGTAATAGCAAGTGTATATATATTTTTTGTTCAGTCTGTACACAGTAACATATCTGAGAACCATATTATTATCATTTCTGCCCAAGGCTCCCTGTGCCTTATAGTTAGCAGTGATACAAGGCAATTACCAATTTTCCATGTTCTTGGCCTGAAGAAATAAAATAATAAAAGTCAAGTTTTTATTATTATGCAAGTGGAAAAATACAATTATTCATAGTATGATTTGAATAAATACAACTGATTTGAAGTTGGAATTATTATTTGTCTAAGATGACTGGGCATTTACAAATTGAAATAGCTACTCTTCATCAAGAAAATACATGAATATTTTTCCCAATTCACCTGGATTTTATTGTAGGTCTTTGTACGTGAAATAGCTTTATTTAACGTCCGCTACCACCGAAGTGATATTGCAGAAAATTAACAAATTCGGATTCCCTTTTAAAGGAAATTGACTGCACTATCGCTGGATTGTATTATATAGGTCATGTCAGTTTTTTTTTAAAATGGCGCCCAGAACACAAAACAAACATTGCAATTCAAGGCGGACTGGTGTCGAGGCTGTATCCTAAGAATGATTTTTTGAATATTTAATCACACAGAAACACAAGTATGCACATGCAGTTATGATATAATATTAAATTAGCTTACCTCAAATACCTCGAAATATACTGTTTGGTCAGTTTGTCCGCCCGCCATATTTCTATTAGTCACACATCCTTCGGCCAATTAAAATGGACGTATATTTTGTTTAAACCGAAACGAAAAATTTGCGTTATAAATAGTAAACGAGCTTGATTGACCGACCACTGCTAATGTTTTTTCGTGAAACGGTATAACTGCAATCAACACACGGCCGCCATTCTCGATGATTGACAACTCACATTTTTCCTCATCCACCAAAGAACCGTTAGGTTTATTTGAACATACTGTAATAACATTGGGATTATCCGTTAATCAGCTTTAATTATCCCGCTTTGATCGTTGCCATTTCTTATATTTTCCACAAAAAAACTTTGCCTTGTACGCACTAATTTATCAATTGGTATTGCCATCTACGACAAGCATGTCAACGTGCAGCTCACGGATTATCGTTAACAATTTCTAGGGGCTTGTAAAAAAAGATTGCATGTCGTGTAAATATTTATTTTGTTTTTTGTGTAGGTCATTTTCAAATAAATTCATCAGCATATTATTCGTTTTAAATAAATATAAAACTTTTATGAGAAACGATGATTATCAAAGAACCGTATGTGCAACTAATGTTTTATCGTTTGGTTGAGCCTTTTACTAACCACGTGTTTCATGTTAATAAATATTTTCTTTCGTGTTTTGAATTGGCCTATTTCTAATAAATTATCCCGAGTCCCAAACGTCGTTAACCGAGTCCCAAACGACGTATACCAAAGTCCCAAACGTCGTATACCCGAGTCCCAAATGTCGTGGTCATATTTTTTTGAGTCCCAAATGACGCTAGTCCCAAATGACATGTAATCCGTTGTTCAACCTCTGTGAGTCTGTGTAATATTTAATATTAGGCCCCATTTTTGCCTGATTCAGTCACAGTTAATAAATAATGGAACTAGAATCAGCCTGTGGAAGTTTCTCTATAGTTTTATTATTTTTTCCAGTCAATGATGATATGTGACTCTTTCCACCTTCCAGCAATAATTATTGAGAATTTACCAAGGACTCCATTGGCATTGAATCGAAGAAAAACAGGTAAAAATTTCAATTAATTTTTATATTTTCTATTTTTTTTTTTACCAATGTCCTACAATGATTAGTGTATGTGAACATACAATCCAAAATAAAGTATTTATATGGCACTTACATGCAACAGAGAGAGAGAGAGAGAGAGAGAGAGAGAAATGACATAAACAAGGCCTTGTATTTGAAGAATCACGTAGTCCATGCTGTGCCTATATGCATACCGGTAATCAACTACGACGAGGATTAGCCTACTTCCGTTTCCACCCTTTCCCTGCACACTGTCTCATTCTACATGTATTAAAAATTGGTATGTTACTGTAATATTAATTATGCACGAACCTACATGTAGAGTTGTTGCAAGATGGGTCCTTATATCTACTTAGCCTACAGACGCTAGGTCGTTTCGGGAAAAAGGACAGGTAAGGTTAAATTTAATATGAATAATTCGTTTGCGGGTATGGGTATTTAGCAAAAGGAGGAAACAAAAGGACCCAGAGATTAGAGAAGGTATGCTTCAATTTAATATGAATAATTCGCTTGGCGTAGGGGTACATGTATTTAGAAAACGGAGGAAACCGAATGACCCAGCGAAAAAACTCAAGAGATTGGACAGGCGATTCTACTCCTTGAAATTGAAACCATGCCACTTAACACAATGACAGACCCTGTGATTTCATGCGCATGCATTACCTACTAGACCATTCCCCCCAGCCCCACCCCATATCGAATAAAAGTATGACTTATTTCAAATATGATATTTACATATAAAGAAAGTAGAGAGACTTCAATCTTACTAGAAAAATACTAGATTACCTGAAATGAAATGGGGTTTAAAGACAACGTCCTACTGGTCAGCTCCGACTGGTCTAATGCATTGTGCTAAGTGAAAATGTTTGTCTGGGCAGCGACACTATGGCCTACTCTCATACCGAATTCAAACTGCCAAGAGAACTTTTATGTGTACGCCAATGTGTACATTGGATCTCAGGGGAAACCACTCTGCAAAATCAAGATGAGCTTTCTCGGTCAACCCCAAGAGATAACCTGTGGCCTCCATGCTAGTGTGCCAGCACCTAATTTACTCAGTCACCATGGCGTCTTCTAATTACTGCGACAGTTAAACCATGTGACAAACAAGGATTATTAAGATAAACTTTTACGGCTTAGGTAGTTCCTTGGGATTAAAACTTTTGATACATATAGATACATTAGTTTCAATTTCATATCACACAGTTTGTATATATGGTAAGGTAGCTTTAATCGTAAATTACATATCATGTATTTATTTTTTCAGTTTCAATATTGGATGTATATGCAAATCACCCAGAAAAAGATCATGTAATAACAAAAGAAATTATAAAAGAAAAAAATGGAAGAAGAAATGGCTGGAAAAAATGAAAATAGAGCAGCTTTTTCTTGGTGGGTAACTATTCAATTCTAATAGAAAAGATTGTTATGCTATTTTGAAATCTAAAATTCAGTTTAGTATAGTAAAACTGTACACGTCATGTATGAGCAGAGACAGAATCTTAGTTATATGTAGATATCACTCTCTCATCTGTGGCAAAGCAAACCAACACATGAAACAAAACAAATGTAATTAAATTAACATTTTTTTAATTAATCAAAACTGTCTAGTCAATTTAAGCCAACTAATACATTGCCATTTTTTTTTTTCAGTTACCCACCTCGGAAGATCAAGTTGGAAAGGGCTATTGATATTGTGGAGACGTTTTCTCACAGATCTTGCTTATCAGACAAAGACTATGTAAGTACCATGCATATTTGCTTTTTAAATCAGGAACTGGTTCTATACACTTGGTGGGGGGTGGGGTGGGGGTGGATGGACGTTAAACCCCATTTCTCTCTCTCTCCTAAATATTGAGATTTTTGTTTACTTTTAAACTGCATATATTCAAGGTATCAGGAGCTTTTTATGGCTCCCGTACAATTTTATAAACATGAAGGACTGTACCTTTTGAATATTAAGCCATCAAATTATTTTATAATTTTGAAAATGAAATGAAATGGGGTTTAACATCCTACTGTTTTGCTCATAAATTGGGCTAATGAAGACAGGCATACGCCATACAGTGTGCTATGAAGGGAATTTTGCCCGGGCAGCGGCGCTACAGCCTACTCTTATATCGAATTCCAATTGCCAAGGAATCTTTTACGTGCACGCCAATTTGTACACTGGACCTCGGTTTGTCGTCCCATCCGAACGACTAGACAGCTGTCCTTGTCAGGATCTCCGTCCTGTATCACTGACAAGGGGAAAACACGAAAAATGTAAGTAACATATATATTTGTATTTTTAATCAGGAAGTACTTCTATACACTTGCTTGGTAATCTAGTTATTCTTCTTGGGGCAATGCCTAGGACTCTGCTGTTTCAAGTACTTGGCATGCTTGATTTTTGCCAATCACATCCATTGATTTCCTTCAAGTTGTGATAGGCCCTACATGTATTTGTATTTTTACAGTAAATAGCAGTAAAATAATGATGGACAGTATTTTACTTTCAAATAGATTTCAATAGATTTTAAAGGGTAATATCCAATTTGTTGTCAATGGAAATAAAATAAGAATGGGTCCAAAAATAATTAGACATTGCCAAGTAAATAGGTGCTGCCATGATGTAGTAGGGAATCTGGATTTGCAGACAATACATGTATGAAAGGGTGAATAGTTGACCTATTATGAGACTTCAGTCCCAAATCTCAAGACTTTTTTCTGACTTCTAACTCATTTGATTTGAGCATAATAATCTGCCTGGGTCTGTAACTGGACAAGACACAATAAGCGTTACGCAAAGTTGAAACCAAATAGAGACTCGGTCTCGATGTGGCAAAATAAATTGTTTATTTAAACGTTGTGAACCATAGAACGTATTCTTATTGCCTACTTTTTATTTTTTAGGCTGGAACACCATTGAAAGAGTATTTGCTGTATGATAACAACAAGAAAACCCAAGCATCAATTTATTTTATACTTCTGGGAAAGAATGCATTTGACCCAATTTTTAAATATTTATTTGTTGTTATTAATGTTAAATTTTCATCCAAAACACAATTAGATTTTAATTCTCTTCAGAAATGTATGTATAATATAGCAAGTAAAGTGACATATAAATCACTTAGAATTTGGTCAGAAATCATAAAGTATTTAATAGGCATTACTAGAAACCAAATGTAGATCAAATACACCCAGAATTACAAAAAACCTTGACCTACATAAAGGTGACTTTCCCTTGCTTATGAAATGAAATACGGTTTAGTATCCTACCTTTCTGTGTTCTTAGAGTGATTCTGCCCTACACCCTACTCTTATATCAAATATTTCAACTGTCAAGGGTTCTTTAACGGGAACCCGGGGGGGGGGGGGGCAATGATTAACACGCACACATTTGATCAGGAAGTCTGTCATTGAGTCAAATAATTCAATTGTCAAGGGTTCTTCTAAGTGAACGCAGTGGGGATGGTTTCGATTCCGGAAATGGGGGAGGGGGTGGTGGATGGCCGAATGGTAAGCACGTGCGTGCGGTATCATATGGCCTGTCATTGAGTCAACTGGCGTGGTTTCGAATCCCCGGTTGTACGTGACAAGGAGTAGGGTCGCCTGTCCAATCTTGTGGGTTTTCTCCGGGACCTCAGGTTTCCTCCCACTGCTAAAGACCCCTATGCGCAACGAATTATTGAAATAAAATTAAACCCATATGTTAATCCCGAAATGACCTAGTTTGTGTCAAGTGGACGTTAAACCCCATTTCTCTCTCTCTCTCTTTCGATTCCGGGCTTGTACCCAATTATCCCTTGCCATATCCAACACTACTGACAAGTTGAAATTTCTCGGCCAACACCTTATACTCACTGAACCACTGTGGCTTATGACTTGTGATTGTATATAAATTTTTTGTACATATGATATTTTTTTATTTCAATCCTGTAATATTGATGCTTTGCTTCTTTTATTTACAAAATATTCATTTTGTTTGGGTTTTTTTTAATGAGGAAACGGTTTTACATCATTTTATTACTCCTGCAAAATAGTGCATTTTTCATTTGTTAGTTTTCTGTGTATATTAGTTATTTCTATATGTCTCACAAATCACTTGTAGTGTGATATTGTAGCACTTTTCAGTTTTTGAAATTGTTTCAGTTTAGTGCATAATTAATCTTAGTGCTTGGTTTGGATGTTATTAGATTTAGATATTATTTGATTTATATATTTTGGAGTAAGGGGTAGGGATACTGTGTACATATCTTTATATTCTCAGTTCTTGTTTTGGGGTAAAGAACAATTTATATAGCTATTTTATATTTTGTGATAGGTAAAGTGTGTGGGGTTAAGAACAATTTAAATAGCTATGTTATATTTTGTGATGGGTAAAGTGGGGTGTGTGTGTGTGTGTGTGTGTGTGGGGGGGGGGGGGGTCATTATATATAACACAATATAATTAGTATTAGAATTCTCTGTTTTTCTGTTAACATTTCAAATATCTATTTAGTTTTGATGTATTAATTTACTTTTTCCCATGATTTTATGAATAAATAATAATCTTACAAAAACAAAACAAAATTTTGTTTCCTTCTTTTATCAAACTTTACAGGTCTAACAGAGCAAAGAGATGGGTCCTGCATAAAAAGGTTGCTATACTGTATATAAATTGGGGAAAAACACAACACAAGTTTTTGTGGATGGTTATACACATGTTTGTATGAAACCACACAAGTTTCAGAAATTTCAACACAAGTTTCAGAAATTTTAACACAAATTTCAGAAAATTCAACACAAGTTTCAAAAATTTCAACACAAGTTTCAAAAATTTCAACACAAGTTTCAAAAATTTCAACACAAGTATTGTGTAGATTTTCACACAAGTTTCAACACAAGTTTGTGTTGTTTGATAAATTTTAACACAAGTTTTGTGTTGTTTCAACATTTAACACAAGTTTTGTGTTGTTTCAACACAAGTTTGTGTTGTTAAATAGAGACACCTTACTTGTGTTGAAAACAACACGTTTGTGTTGTTTCAACACAAGTTTTTTTTACAGTGCATAAAACGGCGCCCATACGAAACACTTACCCAAAAAATGTAAATTGCCCCGCCCTAATAGCTGACGCATCTACACTTTCTACATAAGAAAGCGCGAGAATAAATTTCCCTTCATACATCATTTGGAGTTCCTAGGGAAGACAGCATGGGGCCTTCCTAGAGAGATATACCGTTAGGCGTCTCAGCTTACAGGCCGGGATGCTGGTTTCTTAGGACCTACTCCCAGTCCCTGGTTCGAGGTTGGAATAGAGACAATGTGGTGTTTCATCCGTTATGTCCGAGTTGTAGGCTTATTATTTAATGTCATAGCAGTTTGTGTAGTTTCCTGTATATATACTATTCAAAAAAAGTAGGGAATATTTGATTTTTAAGTGTTATTAAAGTGACCTAATGAAACTGACGAAGAAACAAATGACAAAATGAAATGAAGTTCACATTCATCGATTTATTCCAAATGATCGTTAGACTAAGTAAGGCACAGACTGACCATTATAAGGGTAAAATGATACCCGGGGTCAAACAGCAAAGTTACCACAGCATCACAACCAAGTCAGTAACGGGTAAATCCTCCTCTGTTTGCCAAACAAGCATTGATCCGACGTGGCAAAATCAACAGTGAACCTTGACTCATCTGAAAACATCACATTGCTCCAGCGTCGATTATCCCATAGTTGACGATCCCTACACCAACGACGTCTTGCCTGAATGTGATGATCTCTCAAACAAGGGATCACGCGAGGACGTCGGGCGCGAAGGTGACCCCTATGCAATCGATTCCGAATCGTCTGGCCACTCACTCTCACACCAGTGTCTGTTTGAAGACGAGCGCTGATCTGATTTGCTGTGATGACACGATTTCTCAAGGCCAAGGTACGGATAAATCGATCCTGGGCTTGAATTGTCGCCCTTGGTCGACCTGAGCGTGGTCTGTCCTGTACAGATTGTGTATTACGGTATCTGGACCATAGCCTGCTTATGACAGACTGAGAAACATTCATCGTCCGCGCCACAACCGCCTGTGTTGTGCCGATCTGTAGCATGCCAAGGGCACGTAACCTTTCATTTTGGGTAAGCCGACGCATATCAAAATTCGTTTTCTGGTCACTAAAACAATTAAACTGATGTTTCCACCCTGGAATTCAATGCCACAATGACTGTAACATTCAAAGTCAGAGTCGTGCAAATCTTGGGTTGGACCCCCATGATGATCCCAAGCATCACCTGCATTCCATGCGGTAGCTATTGGTGCGTTTGGGCGTCACATGTAACTGGAAATGTTTCTTCTGTTAGGTTCTATAGTGACTTTTTTCGTAGTCATTTGCATATTTTAGTATTATGCCCCCAAAATCAAATATCCCCTACTTTTTTTGAATAGTATATATGAAAAAAAACCCAGATTTTGTATAACAATTTCTTCTACTTGACCCTTAAATGTGTTTAGACTTGGGTACCTATACCCTTTAAAAGACAACGAGTGCTAACTATTTTAAGAAAACAAACTATTCAATGACTTAGAAGCATACAATTTGTAGTGTTAGGGTTTATGTAAAAAGGCAAAAGAGCTATCAACCCTACATTATGCTGCATTATGACTCCAGAATCCAAAATCGCCCTTTTGGAATGGCTGGAAAGTAGTGAATAGGAGGTGTATATATGATACACCCCCGATGCTCTATGTCTAAGTGTTTAAAACAACCTCCCAGTCGATATCTCCCAAAATAACAATAGATGACTCAAAATACTCAACTAACTAAAATACATGTACGCCATCTATATTCTCAAACAAGCCAACAGTGGGGATTATGTCCCCCGCCGAAATCCCAAAATAAATAGATGACACAGTACTTAATCGCACATTTATTTTTTTCAAAAGTATCGCGCAATCAAACTATACACTAAATTGCATCACTCTCTATCCGATAGAATCAAGATTATCTTGTCCCAAAGCATCGACCAATGAAATTGATTAGCTCTGCTTAGCTTCAGCTCGAAATGTTAATCATTGAACTCAGTCAAGACATTCACCTAATGAGCATCTACATCTAGTTTAAACATTCTACCTCAATTAAATGCAGAGTTGTTATGTTCCAAAGTCTTGACCAATCAAATAGCTTATTGCTCCTTAGCACAAAATTCTCACCATCGAGCTTAGTCAAGGTAATGATATAATGAATCTATATTCGGAATTTCATAGTTCTGACATCATTATAACCAAAGTTCTCGTGCTCCAAAGCATCAACCAATCATTTTGCTTGCCTCTGCTTACCGTAAGTAGACAATGTTGTTCATCGAACTCCATCAAGGCCTTCACCCAATGAACGCCTACACCGCGTGTGAACATTCTACCCCAATTAGAAGGAGAGTTATTGTGTTCCAAAGTCTCGACCAATCAAATTGCTTATCGCTCTGCTACCCTCAGCAGAAAATGTTCATTATCGAACTTAGTCAAGGTATTGATGTAATAAAGCTATACACCAAGTATCCTCACTCTCACTTAATTAGAACTAAAGTTATCGTGTCCCAAAGCATCAACCAGTCAAATTGCTTATCTCTGCTTACCCTAAGCAGAAAATGCTCATCTTCGAACTCCATCACGGCGTTGACCGAATAAACGCCTACACCGCGTGTGAACATTCTACCCCAATTAGAAGGAGAGTTATTGTGTTCCAAAGTCTCGACCAATCAAATTGCTTATCGCTCTGCTTACCCTCAGCAGAAAATGTTCATTATCGAACTTAGTCAAGGTATTGATGTAATAAAGCTATACACCAAGTATCCTCACTCTCACTTAATTAGAACTAAAGTTATCGTGTCCCAAAGCATCAACCAGTCAAATTGCTTATCTCTGCTTACCCTAAGCAGAAAATGCTCATCTTCGAACTCCATCACGGCGTTGACCGAATAAACGCCTACACAAGTTTGAACATTCTAGCTCAATTAGAAGGAGAGTTAGTGTGTTCGAAAGTCTCGGCCAATCAAATTG